CCGAAGTCTATCCTGGAGATCAGGTGTGCAGTCATGAGCGTTGGAAAAGGAGATGCGAAATGTAGAAAGTGGAAGAACACGTGTCTCAATTAGAAAACAAAAAAAGATATCATCTCAATCGCGTTCCTTCGTTTCAGTTAATAAAATATAACCTAACAACGCGTGCATTCCCCCACGCCTACGCGTTTCGCCGGGTTGGGCACCCGCGAACTCCTCAGGTGGGGGGCTTCCACACAACGACGACTTTCGACGCTCGCCTAGGATTTGTTGCTCCGACAGTAGCGTGGCAGTTGGTAGTCCCTCCCCGACGTCCTCCTCCGCTCCCTCAGACTTCTCCAAGAAGCAGGGAGGATGCGTCTGTCTCTCTTCGCCTGAAGCTGCGGATCGGACGGGCGGGCAGGCTCTCGTGATGCCACCGCCGCAGCCGCGAGCTCTTTCGCGACGAGCAACGGTCTTGCTCGTCGCGATCCCGAGCTCGCTGTGGCCTTCCTCGATCGGGTATGGCGACGATAGTGAGCGGAGGAAAGCGCGCACCGACATGGAGAAAGGAGTTGTAGGTTTGCAGTTTTCCGGCTATAATAGGGTAAAGCAACCATCGCCGTGGACGAAGAGGAGCAAGCCTGGGTAAGGGTATATGTTGAAAGATTACTAGGGACTGGACGACGTTTGGTTGGTAGTGACATGCATGGGTGCGCACACACATATCACACACACACACACACACACACACACAACGTTTGGTTGGCTAGAGTGACATGCATGGTTGCGCACAAACATATTACACACACACACGCATACACAACGTTTGGTGGGTTAGAGTGACATGCATGGGTGCGCACAAACATATTACACACATACACACACACACTAATAAAATAATAATAATAATAAACGCTGCTTGCCCAGCTCAGTGGGCGTACTATTCTTTCGCCTTTTACTAAAGAATACCGTGGGCTGAGCACACGTAAGCAGCTTACGTGAATTTTTCACAGGCCTCCCAGACTAGTCTTAAAACTAAAAAGGGAAATGAAATGTCATGAGACCCCACCCGGACTAAACCTTTGTATCCATGTCCCCCCAAACGAGAAAAAAAGTGCCGCGGGTCCCAAGATCACTTTTGGTGTAATTTTGGTACCCTTGCTGGGCCGGTAACGGGCGCTGTGTAAAATGGCGGGAAAGTGTTTCCCAGGGTGCAAAAATTACGCCGAAAGTGGTTTGGGGGTCTGCGGCACCTTTTCCCCGTTTGGGGGAAAATGGATACAAAGGTTTGGTCGCGGGGAGGTTTTATGACTTTTCCCAAAAATGAAAAAAAGAAAAAAAAAAGGAATCAGAATACATGGACATGCACAGGAAGGAAGAAAGGAGGAGGAGGAGAGAAGGAACAGGGACTCGATCCCAGGGCGGAACGACGAAAGGATCAAGCAGGCTAGGTGTACATATTTCGATCATTGCAGATATCTCGGGGCTATGTGACGAACTGATGAGCTTAGATGTTCGTGATGTTGAATTGGTGCTTTGCCGGCATAGATTTACTGTGTTAGATGGGATATAGAACTGGAGGAGATGTGTATAGATGCCGTCGTTCGTGAGTCTGGTAGCCAGTGGAGTGGGGATGTAGAGATATCTGACTGAGTTTAGTCGTCGGAGTGGCAAAGCGCGTGGGGACATTCGGCCTGCGCGACTCAATCATACACAGCACGACCCCACGCTCTCTTTGCCCTTAATACCAACTTTGCCCTTAATACCAACTCCGCCCCCTCTTGTAGAGCCCCTGTCATTTCTCCAATGATACGAAGAGCAAATTGTCTGGAAGCTCGGTAGGATAGTGATCCAGAGTGGAAGAGGGCTCCTGGCGTTCTGAAGCAGTGGGTGCTTTTAGAATCCTTTTGTTTTTTCCGCAACTTTAGTTCCACTAAGTACGATTCCCGCTCACCTTCTTTGTAGCTATGTAATCCATGATTGCACGATAATCACTGAAGTTTTTTTTTTTTTTTTTTTTTTCTGAAGTTTTTTTTTTGCCTTGGATTTATGAGGTAATTCCCGAAAAGACTGGATCAAGGACCTGGTTACTACAAGCTTAAACCACCAGTACTTGGCCCAGCTATTGATGCCAAGCCCAGATACCCCTGCGCCCCAAGTTTTGCCGAGTGGTCGGGGCACCGTTTCGTTTTGATTTTGGCTGGCGCTTCCAGCCATTGTGGTTTGGTGCCCCGAAGCCCACAACTACCGGGTGCGTTAACGGGAACCGCCGGCGGCTGATAGCTGGGCCAAGTACTGGTGGTTTAAAGTTTCCTTGCTTGAACCACCACTCCGCCCGCCAGCTGAAATTCGTCTTTCCTGGCCTTAAGGACCAGGTTTTCACTAGTTTTTAGAGTGGCTGGCGACTGGTAGGCACAGGCGGGTCCAGTACCGCAATTTTCAAGCGCTGACTTTGGCAATTTTTCACGCTCGGAGGAATTTACAAAAAAATCTGAAAATTGGAGATAGAATAGATCAGCTCGTGATCTATCCATGAAAAATATCAGGAAAAAAAACAAAAAAGTTTAGAGTGTGAAAGAAGTGCCGCGCCGATTCGTTGCATTTTCCAGTTTTGCCACTCGACCACTTGTGGCCCAACGGAAAAAGTCCTTCCTACGCAACGTCTGGTCCTACTGCCAAGGGCTGAAACGGGATTTGGACTCAAAGATCACGTGGTTTGCGAATGGGCTGTTCTTTCTAGCCAGGAAAAACAAAGATTACTCAAAATTAGTTGCCAGTAAATGCCACTAGCAAGAGTTAGACATTCATAAGCAGCTTTACTACCTGGTTAGCCAGGACAACACCACCATCCAACAGCTTAGCAAGCAACTTCTTTATCATGCTCAGCAGAGTCAGCACAGACGGCAAGGAATTAGGATCAGAGGCAAACTACCCAAATCTACCACCAAAGGCACCATGGACTCACAGTTCTTCAGTCTAGCGTTGATCAGAGCCCACCGGAGTCCGGACTGCCTCATGTTCTATTTTTAAATACATCACGAAGGGCCAGAAACTGGAGGGTTGCAAGGGCAAGTACGAAATGTGCTGCAACCTCTGCGATTGAGACCCTTTCGGAGGGAGCCAGAGGCCTAGAGCCGAGGGGCAGAGCACTTCACAAAGGGGAGGTGCCTGAGGGTGACAGGCGAGATACTAGCGGAGATTTGGAACACCACGGAGTACAAGTTTGAGCAGCGGTGAGAGAGGCAGGTGCTGGATTTTGTGGAGCTCCATGAGATTCCAAACGATGAGGGGGAGGTGGACCTGTGCCTGTGGATAAGGCGCAGAATGCATAGGATAGGGAGGTTGAAAAGGACAACGAGGGCAAGGATGTTGACGAGGATATTCGTCAAGGCGCACAGTCGGGGTGTACGCGACGTAGGCCACACGAGAAGGGTGCAGAAGGAGAGGACAGCGACGTTGATGTCCAGGAGTTGGGGGCATTTCTGCAGGGAGGACTAATGAGAGAGGGGTGCGCAGGCCAGGAGGATGCAGCTCGTGTGATGATAGAAGCCCTCGACAAGAGAAAGGGTGGCAGTACCACTACAACGACCACTACAGGGTTTTTGCGTTTTAGAGGGTGCAGACGAATGAGTACAGGGCCCTCTCTCGCCATATGCAGGACATGCCGAGGGGCATGAAACCCGCAATGTCATCGTTGAGGCACATTGCAGGAAGTCGCATCCACGGAGAGCAACATTAAGTAGCTGAGAAGCTACGTGAGATGCGAGCACAAATGGATTGTACTGGGGCTACAATCCTTACGAATCGGAGGAAGTCGTTGAACTCCGAACCCATAGTCAACTTCCTGCTCGATGGACCGCCAGGGGCGTTCCTGTACAGTAGTCACTGGACTGTGCGGAGGAATAGCTTGCATGCTGAGGCCGCTGACGTGTAATTGTGGCTGTGGAAGGTCTTCGAGTGCTTTGGCGTGAAGAAGATCAACGCCATATAAACGGACTCTTCCTCTGTGTATGTTGCTGCTGGTTGCGCACTTGCGACAAACGGGGATCCAGATATCTGTCGCATTCCTTGACTCCTTTGTTTCGTCCATTTCTGCAACTTGATGTTGTCAGACATAGTCAAGGACAAGACGTAGGTCATTGACTTGCTGACAATGAGGAGAGCAGTTCTGAGATTTATTCACGCTGCTGGACTGGATAATCGCACTGGAGATAATAATGTTGGAGGGCGAGTGGCCCGGAGTGGGTACATATGTCATGGGAGAGGAGGTCATGGGAGAGGAGGACACTCGGTCAGGCCCGTCAGGGTGGTGGGTACACACACAGGTCCACTGGTGGTTGTTCTGGAGGGAGATGGTCGATCTCATAAATGTCATGACCCCTGTCGTGCAGCTGCTGAGGCAGATGGACTAGGAGGGGATGATGATAGTGCGCATCTTCTACAGGGTGACGCATTTGGCAGGGGAGATGAAGAAATTGGAGATGGCCAGATCTCGTTTGGTCGGCATGCTGCATGATTGCTATGGGAAAGTGTGCCATCTCTTGGAGCGCATCCACACTGCCATCCACCTCCTCAATCTGAGGATGTGAAACTTTGTTTACTTTCAATCACTGACACGGACCTCTCAACAGAAGAAGGTTACAAACATGACATTGGAGTACATATCCACGCAGACGGGGTTTGACAGGCAGGGGAGAGATACATGTTGGTGTGTGCGCAGCTGTTCGACTTCCATGTTTGCGGTATCAGATACGCATGGGGGGGAAAGGGAGGTGATGATGAGGAGGAGTTGTGCTAGGAGCCGGATAAGATGTCGATCATCGCAGATTGGTGGGTACATCACAATAGGTGTGAATATGAGTTGCTCGAGATCGTGACTCGTCTGATGTACATATGGGTTTGTGCCTCTCCCGCGGCGAGGAATAAGGCGGTGCACGAGCGTATTTATGCAAAGCCCCGCAACAGGTTGGAGTTCACGAAGCTCACTCATCTCATTGCGAATCTTAAGATCACAGCTAATGTCAAGTTGATGCAGTGCTGGCAAAGGAGGAGGGGGTTCGTGCGGGGGGACCTCGATGAGTCGATGAGGGTTTGGACGATGCCCCTAAGTCGTGTGCGTCTAGGACTTTGTCGTTAGGAGTTGTGTCCAGCAAGGGCTGTAGATGCCAGACGTGAAGAATGTAGCGGGCTTCCACGGTCGAGCACCCACCTGCGGTGGAGATGGTGTTTGGTCGTTGTGCCGCTCACATCGAGTTGTACGACAAGGAGATAGAGTACGACACTCCTATTGACCCGCAAACCACAAATCGTATGGAGGCAGAGGTGTGGGCGGACCCGAAGAAATTGGAGCAGGGAGCGAGCAATTGTGATGATTGTGCGGAGGGCGATAATGATCAGGTTGGCGACAATGAGATGAGGTCGCGAGATCGTCAGAGCCAATCCCCCCTTGCCGTCAGCCTCACTAGAGCAAAGCACATGGCCGCGAGAACGCGCAACCAGTCACATGTCATGCGATCCTCGGATGACGAGGACGGAGGCACTGCCAACGTGGAGGATTCCTACGACAATGATTTTTGAGGAGGTGAGGGGGCCGACCCTGCAGACTCAGAGTTCCCAAGTTCGGATGACGGCGTTGGCGGTGGACCAGGTTCAAAGGTTATGACGGGCCAGGCGGTGGTTGTCTTACGACTTTGCATGCCGATGAGGAGGGAGGGGGGGCGAAACTCAGTTTGGCGGTGCCCCAAGGATCTATTTTGTCCGGTATTTTTAGGGATGATTTCGACGTGGCCCCCCCACGGACGTCCTCTACAGGACGTGGGGGTGTGATCGGACACTCGTGAGTGATGCAATGCATCAGATACAACAGGTCTCAGTGGAGCCAGTTATGGGATGTTGGAGGAGGCAGGCTCAGGAAGCGAGGACGGAAGGCGAGGCGACGATGCAAACATTGCAGAGTACGAGCCTTCCGTTGCGCACAAGGAGGAGGTCAGACAACCGTAGATCGAGCCTGGGGATTGACTCGAGGAGGAGAGACTCAGGGAGGGGGTCGTTGGGTGCCCCATGATCTACGACTTTGTGTTAGAGCAGGCCGAGCATACGGCGAGAGAGATCGGTTGCCCCGGGGAGGAGGTGACTGCTGCGAGATTGGCATCCGAGCGTTCACATGTCATTCTCATGGCTAGATTAGACGGTGGACAGGAGGATGTGCTTGGAGGTGAGGGCAAGAAGGGCAATGGTCTCGATGGATGGGGCCATGATGTGGGGTTGTTTTGCAAGACACGTATGGCGTTGGCATCATGCCTCGTAGAGATGACGATAAGCGCGAGGGTGGTGGAGGTGCAGCGAGGGCGACCGTTGGGGTCTCGCTTGCGTGTCATGGAGTTGTTGTGGACAACAAGCACACATGTGGGGGTGTCACAGGTGTGGGACACTGTGGGTGTCAACAGTGGACATGTTGGCGACATTGGACGAGGACATTCGACTGCGCTGCAGATATGTGCAGCCACAAAGCATCCGATCCACGACAGTATTGAGGCAGAGGAAGACTCAAACGACGACCAACGTGACGATGTGCCACATATGGCCGACATTCTCGCCTGGGAGGGGATCGTTCCACACTTGGAGAAGTTGGAGGTAGAGGGTGGCGTTGGTCCCGCTGAGGGAGAGGTCGCGGGAAGTGAGGTGGTTATTACACATGAGGTAGAGGGTGGCGTTGGTCCCGTTTGGTCGTAGTATCATAGCCAACCCTTCATCCTATCAACACTCTTCTATTCATTTGCCTCGTCGTCCCACAAGTACCCCACCTGCAAAACCCCCTATTTCACCCACCCCGTCCATATTAGTGGGTTCGAGTTGCAATTAATCTGGCAGTGGGACTCAATGATCCACCTATTTCCAAGAAGGGGTTACCTGGCCACTTCCTCCTATCGATCGGGCGCCATTCTGTTTGGGGTTGGGCACCTCCTCCATATCTTGAGTAGACTCACCCTGAATTTGTTTGCAGGTTTGCAGTCCTGGCACTTCCAGGGGATCCTCCAATACCTGTCCTCCAACCAAACGAGGGTGTCAATCTCAGACGGGTTGTTAGGGGCTAGGGACGCAATTTGCGCTAATTCAAAAGGGCGTCATGGAAAATTTTCAGAAAAGATTAGGGTCTTTATCGAAAGTAGGCTTGGAGCCCAGATCGGATTTGGGGGTTCAATAGTGCCTAGCCCCTCAGCCCCACTCAGGTCTTGGACTGGATTACCGAATCCCAGGCAATTCGGCTAATCACGTTCGGGGACTCAATGTCACCCCTTCACACTGGAAAGTCGATAATTGATGTTTCAAGGCCCTTAGCCCCACCTTGCTCAGGTGCCATACGATAGACTTGTACCATAATGAAGCCAGAACCACGTTCGAGTTGTTCACCACCAAGGCATACCCGAAAATCGGCGTGTGCTTCTTATTCTTGTTGGATAACCTGGCTTGTGTTGGGGTAACTTGGGCGCCTTAACCGGTCGTCGTTGGACCGACGTTGGTACATGGTTTTCAAGGTGTGTTTATGGATGCGCCGAAACTCTGATGGGGCTTCTGATGGAGGTTATGTAATGTGGGGTTTCTCGGGGGTTCTCCCTCCTTAATCGTGAAGAACCACCCTACCGTCTTCAGTCCCCAATTTACTGCCACATTCTTAAATCCCCCACGGTCATGACTGCGGGGTCGAACTTGGATGGCGGTTGGGATCCCGACCGCAGGCCTTGGCCCCAACGGTTGGGCGAAGCTGATAATTTCACAAAAAAAATCAAAAAAAAAAAAATGGACCAAAAATAAATAAAAAATATGAGGTTGTAGGGTTTGCAAATCCCTACAACCGTATATTTTTTGTTTTGGATTAAGAAGTGCTTTTGTTTTTTTTTTAAATAGAAAAAAAAAAAAAACAAATATTTTACTAAAATGAAACGATATTATTAAGAGTGATTTTTTTTATTTTTCTTTTTTGTGGCACTGTGTATGTATGGCATTGTGTGTGTGGATGTGCGGGGGGAAAGGGTGACCCTTTCTCCACCAATCAATCAATCAATCAATCATTAAAAAAAAAAAAAGAGTAAAAAAAAAAAAAAATAGAGGGTTCGACTTGCGCGCATGTGTGTGTGTGTGTGTGTGTGTGTGTGTGTGTGTGTGTGTG